TAGGCAATAATTAACAAAAAACACTCATAAAACCTTAATTATTCATATTTATTGTATAAAACTATATATTTTCAGAAAGCAGTAACATTCAAGATTTTACTTTTTTAACCGATGAACAAAATAAAAATGGCGGATAGGCTCAACATGGCTGCCGAATTCAAAATGGTGGCCAAAATAAAATATATATGTATTTGCATTATTATAATAAATGCTGTAATAACATCAAAAGATTTGTGAAATAGTGATTGGATCTATTATTTAAAAAATTTAAAATGGGTGCCACATTGAAAATTGCCGCCATTTTAAAAATGGCCACCACGTTAAAAATGGCTGCCATAATGAAAATGGCCGCCATATTATGACTGTCACATTAACATAAAAAATTCTGAACCCTATGGAATTTTAAAGTTGAAATGGTGGTTTGACCTATAATTCAAAATGGCTGCCAAATTCAAAATGACTGCCAAATTCAAAATGGCCACCAAATAATAATATAATCTTAATGTACAGGATAAAAACTATCCCCGCCAGACACCATCCTGGTATTTTTTAGTCCACGTTTCAGGGCCGGAATTATAAGATTATAATTTTGCAATATTACATGGTAAAAATTCCCCACTGGACACCATCTCGGTATTTTTTAATCTACTTTTCGGCAGTTCTTCTTTTTGAATTTTATTTCCAATTTCAAAACTCTCGCTGTGCAAGTCTCTCTCCACCCAGGAGTAAAAGTGGGTACCTGGTAGGTTCAAACACAGCCTGCGCTGAATACAGCTGCAACATTATGGAATTCCCCTATGGGGCCTGAGTGTGTGTTCCATATGTGCTTGATCCAGTGATCCGGGGTAATAATGTTCAGCGCATAGAGAAGTTTGATATGCGCTATATAAGTATACAATAATAATAATAATAATAATAATAATTTAAATGTCAAAATTTCAATCAAATTTTATAATCAATTAAATTAAATCAATTAAAATTCTGTACAAATAAACTAGAGAAAGAAAAACATTTATTATAAAATACAGTGTCAATTCAAACATTCTTTTGTAATAATATGGTATATATGAAACTAATACTATTATAGGCCTAAGTGCTGAACTGTGAAGGGCTGTGCTCTGCTGTTCAGCCTGCATAACAATGCTGTCAATAACTTTCCTAGGCCTATGATTGACTTAAAAACATGCTGTCTTTAAGATCATTTTCTACCTTTTAAATACATCTTATAAACTTCTAATTTGTGTTAAACAATGTACAAGACATTGTATTTTTATAATTATTTACCAACTAGGGTGAGTTGATTCAGTGAAGTTTATTTTTTCCAAAGTTTCTGACAAAATTTGTCACAGTTTTAAAAGTATCCACACCATCAACTAATTGCAAACACCTGACCAAAAAACTACATTGACCTCAGAGAGCCAAGGAGAAAAATTCACTCAAAAAGTGCTAGTGTGTGAAACCCTATACTGTAAGCAGAGATTTGGTAGGCTTACTAATTTATAAACTATCATTGTGGCAAAAGTACTAAAGTGAAGTTAATAAAACTTACAGATATGATAGAAACAACCTTTCTCTCACTAAAACTGAAAGAATTATGTTGATAGACCTTCTAGAAGTGGAGAAATATTAATTTATGTGGGAGATAGTCAATTTGAATTGCAGTTTCCTGCACGTTTTACTGGTGGTGTGAACACCCTACTGTATAACATTGTAAATACTTTTTTGAAATAGTCATTTTCTTGGATTTTCCTGAGCACCGACATCTGAAACCTTGCAGTGATGGGCTTGTTAGTCATTTGCAAGATGTAACCACGTAAACGGACATGCAAATAGATACAGAGTTCTCCAACCATAGACACCAGAAAAAATATGTTGAAATACAAACTACACTAGTGAAGTTATTGAATATCTCTTACAAGTTACTGTAACTTCGATTTTTTAATTTTATCTCAGAACCTACATAGCAGGGAGGAGATCTTGAGAACTCTTTGTGGTTCTATCTTGCCAAAAAAGACTGGGTAGCTGAAAAAAATCTTGTCAAGTCTACATTCGGTAAGATAACTTTTCAAAAAAATAATTTGTGCTTACCCATTTATATGTTATACTTGTTGAAGTATTTCAATGCATTTATAAGCTTAATTTCCACCATTTAAGTTAATACAGTATATATCAGCATTTGGGTCAGGCATTTCATGTGTTATAATATGTGAATGTTGTTTATCTTTGCAGAATACGCTGCGAACATAATTGAAATGGCTCTGTACATGGCAAAAAGTAATATGAAAGAGTTTTTCACACTGCTGAAATAATGTGCGATCCGGGAACAATTGCTGGGAAATTACCGAAACTAGACAAAAATCAGTTCGTGTCCAGTTTACTCAGCCGATTCAACAGAAATTAAATACTGTATAGCCATACAGTAACATGACCATGTTACACTTTTTTTTATAAGAGCCATTCAAATTATGCCCAGGCTCACTGTTATTATTTTTTGCTGATTCCAGCATTGCTCTATTTCCATTTACAGAAAATTGTTATTGTAATTCTACCCACTTATTAAATGTTTCTATATCTTTTTTGGAAAGAGAACAAAAGATAGTTTCTGGTGACTAAATTGCATTCTGATGTGTTGAATTTGTGTAGAAAAAAATCATGGAAAATAATTTTACACAACCAATTATGTTATTTACTAAGATAGTTCATATATAAGGGTTTTTTGAAATGATAATACTGTTAGTGCAATAAACAAGCAATTACCATTAATCATTTTTTAAACAAGTTAAATTGGATAACAATTATATTTATTATTACATGTACTAATCTTTACATTTAATGATAATAAAGCATGCTTTAGCATGAATACTGCAATCATAATCTAACTGTAAATTAATGGAAAGTGTCTTCACTTTGTTTCAGTACTTAGCAAAGGTTGTCCCATTTTGTGAAAAAATAATAAGAGTTCGTCAGTGTTAAATAATATCATGAGAGTCTCTTGTAGCATGAATACTGCAATAGTAATCAAACAAGTATTTCATTAATCAAATTGTAAATGATTTTTTATGATTGTATAGGCCTATTTATGAACAAAAAACACCTCAATTCAGGGCATTCTATATTATATAGTTGAATTGCATTGTAATTAACCAAAAATAAATTATTGTTAAAATATACAATTTTAATAGATAAAATTAATTTAACACAGACATAGTAATTCATACTGGCAATACATTAACATAGCTACAGCATGAGGAGCCTCTGGTCAAAGGAGAAGCTAAAATTCACCTGTCTGGGGAAGATATTTAAACTCTGTGTAGTTGGCACTGGGTTCAGGAAATGCCTCATGTATGGACTTCATTACACGACATCAGCACTCGCCTGTCTTTGCCAAGATAACCACAGCACCAACGTACAAATTGCTGATAGGCTGTATACCTGTAACGCCTGGAAAAAAAAAATTGTGAAGCAATATTAATATAGATTTTTTTTGTGTGTGAAGGGAAGAGAAAACAGGAATTAAAGCATAACTACACCTCATAAATAGTAATCAGATTTAATAAAATATTTTATTGGTCAATTCCACTTGTAAGCAGTGGGGTATTTTGCAAGACTTGCATGTACTGTAAGTGCACACGAAGAAAAAGTAAGGTACCACCCAAAATATTAACTAATGTATACCTAATAGAACAAAAATATATGTTGATGTTTGCGGTACACCACATAGGCAGTTTTGAAAAGAACTGTTGTAGTTAAGAAACTCTCAACATTTTGATTGAGTTGCTTCAGTCATCTTCGGGAGAATAATACCTACAGAAATTGCAAACAGGGAAATACTTATATGTTTGAGTAGAGAAGTACAAAAATAATTCATCTATGTATTCTTTACCTTTCAACTCCCCCTTCGGTCACAGGCTCCTGGTATTGTGAAACATACTGCCAATATGCAATTTGTAGTGTTACAGGATTTAAGATGGCTGGTTCAAACCAGCCATCTTAATGCACCCATTGTGGTATGGCTCTTCATTGTTTTTTTGCATAACCTTTTCAATCTGTTAAAAAAAGATGGAACATGAATTCATGAAACTTAAAAAATATTTAATCTGCAATACAACACAGGTAATGTAATACACGCCTTTTCCTGTGTTAAAAACATGATTTATACTACACTTATTGATACTTGTACTTTATAATAAGAGAAATCTCATATTATTGATACCTGGAACAGTAATACGAAAGTACTATGCTACTGCACTGTAATGCT